TGTTTTATGGAGAAATGTTCTCAGGATATAAAAAAGTAATGTTTTGTTGTGTTCTTGTTTTCAGATTAACATTTGGAATTGAATTAGAATAAAATAAAATTGTATGAATGTTCCTTTATTTATTTATTTTTGCTTTTTTTTCTTAATTTTCTAAAGACTGATATAGTGTTAACTTGAAAATTAATACAATGAACTTAAATATACTACGTGTAATTACTGCAAATTGATATAAAACATTTTAAGTTAAATGAACTGAACTTTGTAATCGATCTTACAAAACATTTTAAGTGAAATAAACTGAAATTTTTAAGTTCACAATACTTAATTTTTTTTGTAGAGCAATCAGTTTCTTACGTTTTTTAAGCAAATTCAACTTATCCAGGTTTACAGTGCATTATTAAAATCAGATTTCAAATTGTGGACTTCTAATTAAATTATCAAATTAAGATATTGGACTTACCAGACATCGTAACTTCTTTTTTGGTGTGGTGCCGTATGTGAGAATAATCCACAGGATGAAATGTCAGAGTTGTGTTCTGAAGGCTCCTTTATAACCTTTGAAGGGATGTTGATATCCTGTTAAGTCCTAAAGGTTACTTCAAGTGTTCAATCTCAACTAAGATGCTCTAATTTTTCTATTTATTTCTCAAAAACGTATTCATAGTTCTCAGGAATATCTTAGGAAGCATTTTTCCCTTTCACAGGAGACGAGCTGATACTCACATCTATGTTTCTGATTCCTGAAGGAGATGCAGAAGACGAGGATGTTGCTTTTATGCGGCTACAAGAAAGCAGAAGATTAGAGATGTTTGTTGGGGAAATTTGAAACAACCTAATGGTCACAAGATCCTCACTCGTGTTCAGTCTAAGACATAAACATGATCAAAACACCAAGAGTGAAACTAAGAATCATGTGGCCTAAAATCATCCTCCTATATTTATGATATAAAGTCATGAGGCCATTTAATAGGAATTCTGGAACCCATTCCAAAATATATATGAATACTTTTGGTACATTTAGTGAGATTTTTTGTTTTAAACGACAATCTTACAATGGTTAAATTAATGTATACATAAATCTAAATAATACAAATCTAAATAATAATATAATAATAAATGAAGAAAATATATACAAAAACATTAGGCTAACAAAACAAGCTAACTTGTTTATTTAAGAGTAAATATAAATAAGAAATCAATATAAATTAATAAATTCATTATTTACAAATTGTTACATTTTATTGACATTTTTGAATTTTAAATTAATGATGGGATTTTTTTTTTTTTTGATACAATGATTAGGATTTAGGAGAAACAACATGAAGTTTATAGTTATATCCGAAGAAAGAACTTTGAACTTCATGTAGTAAAACCTGCCATACAGAAGTGATTTTTCAACATCGGAGGAAATATGTGTCACTGATGCAAGGCCACACATCATTCCATCATCATCATTTCCCAACCAGGCGCCGAGTGCTGCCAATCACAACACACTCACACACTGGCCCAGCTAACCAATCACAGCACATTTCGTATTTCAGAACTCCTTCCCACTGGGTTTGTCCTGAAGATGCTGTAAACAAGTGTGTTTCTCACATGAGGAGCAGCCAGTTTCATTTCATCAACTATTTTTAAATGCAGGACATTAAAAAAACAAAAAAACAAACTAACATCTTGTGACATCATGACACTTCATTTATAAACATTGATGTGGTGTATAAGAAAATATAATCTATAATCATACTAACTTTTAATGATAATCTATTGAAGGAAAAGAAAATGAACATTCTGTCATTACTTCACCCTCATGTCTTTCTAAACCTGTATGACATTCTTTCTTTAGCAGAACACATAAAAAGATAGTTTAAAGAACGTTGGCAAACAGTTTCCGATCACATTGACTTGCATTGTATTTTTCATACATAAAAGTCAATGAGAACCGAAACTGTTTGGTTACCGACATGCTTCAGAATATCTTCTTATATGTTCCACAGAACAAAGAAAGCCATACAGGTTTGGAACAACATGAGGGCAAGTAAATAATGACAGAAGTGTCATTTTTTTGGGATGGACTATCCCTTTAACAAGTATTATTAAAACAATAATTCCATAATCATGAGAATATATCTGAAAATATATTCAATCTGACATTGAATCTCTAATATTCAGAATAGTGGTCAATGATTAGTTCTTAAACATTTGCATTTGTTTCCCCAAATCTTGAACATTTGGTAACAAATTTGAATGCAATATCTGTAAAGGATTAAAGTGTTCAAATTCTATTTAGACTGACCTTACTGTCAACAAGGTGGTCTAGCACAATGACGTATGAGGTTAAACGAGACACCTGTAAAACTGAAAAGAGCGTGAATCTGATCCGGCCTCCTTTCTGCTGTGTTCAGGACAGGAAGAAACACGTTTCTGTGTGAATAATAAGAAGGAAAGGAATGCAAGATGAGATATAAAGTGTATTACAAAAGTATGATATATAAGTTCAGCATTCATATTAAAATATGGTAAGCACAAGAACGGGAAGAAAATCCCAAATGAGGTTTTTTAATATCTCAGCAATCAAAACATTGTCTGCAATCAAACATAAGTGATTTCAATATAAACCCAAACATTTCTCATCTAATTCTTCCAAGTACAATTTATGTATTTTATGATGAAAGATCAAGAATCTTTGCAAACTGTAAATGCCCAGTCTGTACATAGAGAGACATTCCACCCCCATTCCATTCCAAGTGCAAACATTTTTCAGACAGAGCATGGAAAAGTGTCCTTCTCAGTTTACAGTCTGTGTAAATGGCAGCGGTTTTCCACTGTGCCAATAAAAAAGAAAGAGGAGAAAATTCTTGTCCGCAAACTCAGCCTCAGGCTGTAATCAGTTTCATCACAGATCCACAGAAGCTGATGCATGTTTACGCTATTTCAATAAGAATAAAGATGCCACCCATGAATGCCAATGAATGAGCCAAATGAACAGGATTTTAATGGGAAAATACAGAATAGGAACAAGATCCTAATTCTTAAATGAATATGCTACCCAAAAATTGAAATTTTTTCCAATATTTACTCAACCTCATGTTATTCCAAATATGTTGGATTTTTCCCCCGTGGAACACAGAAGGAGAAACTATGAAGAATCTTTAGGTAGTTATTTTCCATACAAGGACACACACACACACACACACACACACACACACACACGTTTGCCTAGCTATCTAAATGAGGACATTCCATAGGCGTAATGGTTTTTCTACTGTACAAACCGTATATTCTATTGCGCTACACCAACCCTACCCCTAAACCTACCCCTCACAGGAAACTTTTTGCATTTTTAGATTTTCAAAAAACTTAATTCTGTATGATTTATAAACTTTTGTACCCGTGGGGACCACAATTTAGGTCCCCACCGTGACACGAGTCCCCATGAGTCTGTGTGTAGTCAGGTTTAAGTCCCCACCAGGATATATAAACCAGTACACACACACACACACACACACACACACACACACGTTTTTTAAACCAGTTTTACAAATGAGGATGTCCCCAAAGGGAGGTTTTTGGAGATTTTGTCAGGTTTTGCTCATTTTTGGGTACAAATTTGTCCTCAAAATATGGTTAAGTCGGTTCACACACACACACACACACATGTTGGTTTTCAATCAGAAAGTGCTTGAATTTTATGGCCCAAGTCAGGAAAGCTGTCACACAAACATGCTGCCTTAACTTGCTGAAAATATCTGAACAGAGTTTGTTTAAAACATGAAAGCATATATTCAGTCGAATATATCGAAAGGTTTATCAAGCTCACCCAAATTTCAGGCAAGCTAAATTTAGTTATAATAAGACAGATTTATTACCTACATACATCTTAACAGTATAATAACAGCTAAAGACCCCACGGGGTAAAAGGGATTTTAGTATTTCCTCAAAAGACTAACAACAAACCACCACAACACTTCCTAAACACCTGCTTGTGCTTGCATTAAAATGTTTTTTTTTTATTCATGAGGTCATTGTGTGGGACAATAGATCAGATTTGAGAAACATATTTTTGCAAACATAAAAATCTTGGGGGTTTTTTGCCAGTAGTTTTTTTCACTAACATTGTCACTGCATGACAGTAGTATCAACAACAGTATGCACCCTCATGAGAAACCTTGAAGTATCAGGGAATGTTAAACCGGACCTATTGTGCAAAATTCACTTTTACATAGTGTTTGAATATAAATGTGTGTTGGCAGTGTGTACACAACCACCCCATAATGATAACAATCCACCAACTCCTCTTTTTTTTAATCCCCATAAATTATAAGCAATGTCTCAGAACAATGATATAATAAATTATCTGTGGGGTATTCTGAGATGAAGCTTCACAAACACATTCTGGGGACACCTGAGACTTCTTGTAAAAAGGGGCATAATAGGACTAAAAAAGTCATGGAAATCACAAAACAGGCTGATTTTATATGTTATAATATAGAATATCATTTGTGTGCTAAAATATCTCAGAAAGAAAACACAAAGAGTAAGCCCTCTGAAAGTGCAATGTTTGTAAAACTCCTTATTTAGTAATCACGAATAACTTGAAACGTCGTGGGAATTCTTTGGTCATTATTGTAAAAACAAGCAAGCAAGCCCTGTCCAGATTTAAAAAGTAACGCAAAAGTAACGTAACACATTACTTTCCACAAAAAGTAACGAAGTAATTAGTTACTTTTTTATGGAGTAACACAATATTGTAATGCTTTATTTTAAAAGTAACTTTCCCCAACACTGATGACAACACTGTATAAATGACATATTTTATTAATATTGTATAAGCTAATACAATTATTCCAACAATAAGTTTTTCATGTCAATTTATTGATTTGGCAAGTTAGGCGTGTAGAAGTGGAATAATGTCATTATTGCAAAATAAACCACTTTTGCTTGATCACCTTGGATGACTGTCCATAATCCCTTTACTTGTTTTCCTTGTTTCTTTGTGTTTCATGGGAAAAGTCCTCCGGATAGCAAACCATATTAACTCACAAAATTATGCTTTCTTTTTGTTTAGGAACAAGCCTGAAGCCGTAGAGGTTACGTTTGCAGGTAAAGTCGAAATATGGATGAGCTCAAAAGTGGAAGTCCAAACATTACTATGCATGCTTGTAACTGATCTTACAATAAAAGTAATGTTTATTTTACACTGATAAAAGCAAAATGAATAACATGGGGTCTTATTATTCCTTTGCTACAGACTTTGATGGTGTGCTTTACCACATCTCCAACCCCAGTGGAGACAAAACTAAAGTAATGGTCAGCATCTCTCTCAAGTTCTTCAAGGAGCTTCAGGAGCACGGCGCCGATGAGGTACGAGACATAATCACAAAACCTGTCAAAAACATGTCTGGGTTGCATTTGACCATAAAATCAAAATTAAGATCCTAAAAATCGACTCTCTCTATACAAAATATACACTACAATACAAATGTTTGGGGTTGGTAAGATTTTCAAAATGTCTTTTTTTTAAAGAAGTCTCTTATGTTCCCCAAATATATATATATATATATATATATA